CTGAAGAGAGGTGGGAGCTTTGAAGCGCTCGGGGGGAGATATTCTGGTACCTCACCCTCGGCTGTAGTATTTTAAATCTGCTGCCAGAGAACCAAATGAGACAGCTCGTGCCCTGTGCGGCTGTGGGACCGGGAAGCGACATCCCGCTTCCTTTTGAGCGGTGATTATACACCTAATAACCAAGCACCGTGAGGTTGTTCCGCCCGCAGGACACCTCCGTTAGTTCTCGTGAAAGGCCCAGCTTTGGGTTTTCCCCTGAGCAGCCAGGAGCCGGAGACCTAACTTAGTGGTGTCGTTCCTTAAGTTTCCCGATGAACGCGTTTTTCCGACTGGAGGCGTCCCTTAAGGCTGGGTTGCTTGCCTTGCAGGCCTACGAGGAGGCGAGGAGGACAGACTGGGAAATGTATGAGAAGGAGCTGGCCGCGTACAAAGCACAGCTGTCTCCAGCCCAGGCTGCGGCTCTGAAGGAAGAAAGGAGCAGGCAGCTGGCGAAAAGAAGATCCTTCAAGGCCAAAAGGGTAGGTGTTTCAAAGTTCAGGTTTCTTTTCTCTCCAGGGACCTGAGTTCTCTTTGCCTAGCATACAGAGCAGAGTCGAAGCACGTTTAGGAATAAGAACAAAATGCAAAACCAAACCAAACAAGAAATCCCCCCAACCCGGATGGAAATAATGGCCGCTGTTAGCGGTTCGGTGGCCATCCTAGGCCGGAAGACCGGAAGTAGCACGTAGCTGTGCTTACAGGTAGCTCCTCCCTGCTTTTTCTTCCTATTCCCGAAGCTGCCTGCGGAATGATAGGTAATAAGGGACATTTGAACCAGCAGCGCTTTCTTTGCTTGGGAAGACATCCAGAAACAGCTTTTCACAAAGGCCTTGTTTCTGTTACTTCAGTGCCCTCTCCCCCACAAGGTAGCAGCTGCTTGCAATAGCCTTTTTTTCCTTCCTTTCCTTGGATACTGCCCCTTTGCTGCCTGTGTAGCTGCTGACGTGCTGGACTCGGCCTGCACAGAGGTGTGTCCGTCAGCGTCCTTTGTTGGCTCCTCCATAGAGATCGCCTTCCCCGTTCCCTTTTGGCTGGGAATTTGCTGTGCTTTCCCTCTCGCCGTTCCTGCAGGCAGAGCGTTCTGACAGCAGAAGCGCAGTTCCCTTTCCCTGGACGTGGGCAGGTTGTGTGGCACCTTCTCACCTCCCACAGAGCCGGGTGCCTGCCCTCCTCCCGGCAAGCACGCAGCATTTCACGCCAGAAACCAAAGCCTTACGGAGAGAGTAGAAAACCTGCCATCCTGACTTCCCTACTGAGCAGGGTTTAGTAACGGCCTTGGGTTTCTGGATGTTACAATCAGTGTAAGGTGTTGGGTTTTGGGGGTTTTTTTAAGTCTGTGAAAATTCATGTTGTCTTTAGTGTAGTGCTAGTGACAGGTGGTGAGAGCATCCTGATGTAGAGCTCAGTTTACAGAGTAGAACGCGAATGAATTTAAGATGTAAATACAAATGGTAACTTTTGTTTGGAAAAATGCACGCTCGGGAGGTTGAGTAATTTTTTCTCCTTGTTTTTAAAGGAACTGACTGTGCTTGGAAAACCTAAAAGACCTCGTAACGGCTTTAACATTTTTGTGTCAGAAAACTTCCAAGAAAGCGAGGGAGTTTCACCCGCGGTAAGCCCGGAAAGATTGTTCTTTAAAACACATCTGCTGTATTCCAGCAATCTGGTTGGGATTCTATCCCTCCGAAAGAAACGCTTGAACAGTTCAGTACCCGGAGTTTGCTTTGCTTAGGTGGTGCTGTAGGCTGCGGTGGGTGTGAGCTGCTGTGTGGGCACACACAGTTAGCGCCCGGTTTTGCTCTTCAGCGTCCAGGCTTCGTCCGTAAGGAGAGAATTCTTCGCTCTGGGGCAGATACACGAGTTTTTCAGGCGGTTGTGGCGGTCTGCTACCGTTTCTGTAGCGGTGGTTAGCGCACCTCCCGCAGCACAGTCCGTGTTTCAGAACACGCAGGAGTGACTCGGCAAAGTCACGAGTTCTGCCCCGGCTTTGGGGTGCTGTAAGTGGGTGACAGCACCGGAGGCCTCCCCTGCGCGTCTGGGGTGTTCGGCCTGTTCAAATAATCCTGATGTGTGGCGTGTTCTACATCCCGTGCAGGCAAAGCTGAAGCAGTTGTTTGATGTCTGGCGAAACATGTCCAGCTCTCAAAAGCAGGTATGTCCTTGGATTTCGATGAGGCTCTGGTCGGATCCCAAAATGAGTCAGAAGTAATGAATTCGTACGAAATCTTGAATGCGGTTGCTCAGAATATGACATGGAGGAAAATACTCTTAGTTTTTATCTAATTTATGCGTCTTGGAAAAGATTGTCGTTCCCTTCATTCCAGTAGTGACCATGTCTTCCCCAGCACTGATGAAACGTGAGCGGGATAGGATCGAAGTTCTGCGTGCCTGGAAATGGACGCTGAGCGGCGTCTAGGGAGGAAGGTGGAACAATTCGCAACCTTTTGGGGTTTTTAAATATTCTTTCTAATAATATATAATATTTTTAAATGCCAGCCTAGTAATTTGCGGCTGACCGAAAGACTTTTGACAGGTAAAAGTAACAGAAACCTGTCCTGGGGATGGTTCTCTGCCAGCTGTTGGGCGTATTGCAAGACGAGCCTGCAGATGTGTGGATGAAATAGAATAAACCTCCAGGTTTTTTAAGCATTCCGTACTTTTCCATCCTTCCTCCCTCCCGAGTGCTCTTCTAGGTTGTTCTGAATGTGAACTTAGAATTTTTTCTGCGGGGAGGGGGGTGGAAAAAGAAGCGTTTGTGCAAAACCAGCTATTCCTGTTCTTTGCCTAAGCCAGCGCTCTTTTTTTTGAGCTAGTACTCAAAAAGCCTGTTAGTAGCAATATCAGATGAACTTCCTCTCGAAGAACGGCCCTCTTAGCGTAACCACGATTCAGTTTTGTATTTCTGTGCACGCTTGGTGGGTTTTTGTAATTTGACGGAGGAGAAAGTGAGACCTGGGATGCAGACTGCAAGGTCTTGTCCTAAGTCACCTTTGTATTGAGGGGAGGGTGTGACATGGCACTTAGCCTGGCAAAGCCCCTCCGTAACCGCTGGTACCTGGTTTTCTTCCAGCCGTACCTGCAGCTGGCTGAAGATGACAAGGTTCGTTACGAAAACGAAATTAGGTCTTGGGAAGCAAAAATGGTTGAACTGGGACGGGAAGACCTGATCCGTTCCGGAAAGCGAAGCCAAAAGAAGGCGGCTGCTGAGAAGGCGGAGAGAGCCAAAGATTCCTCACATGAAAAAAAGGCAAAATTAAAGCCGAACAGACCAGAAGAATAAAACGGTTAAGAATTTTATATTAAATGCCCTGTGGTTGTCCTGTCTTTATCCTGCTGTGTTAATGCTGCAGTCGGCATTGGCACTGACATTCGGAAAACCCACGAAGGGCCTTTGGAGAAGCAGAAAAGGTGATGAGGTAAGAGAGGATTCAGTGTCTCGGAAGTGACTGAAATGATCGTAGCAGTAGCCTGAACTGTTAATCAAGCTGTGACTAGCGGTGCTCACATCAGCAGAGCCCTCCGGCAGCGGTAGGTAACAGCCAGCTTTTATACCGTGTTTTTTTTATGACGGCAAGAATATTCTATGACGTTACCATCTAACTTCTGTAAATAAGAGCTGAGTTTTGAGTTAATGCTGCTGTGTTTTATTCCCTCCATGGCATTGGTAGCGAAGGGAAATGTTCCACATTTCAACAAAAGGCAGGAGGAACGTGTAAGACTTCACGTGGGGTTGCGCATCCGCCTTTGTGTACGTATCAGCCTGTGTCTACAGCCTGTGCCGCCTTTCATTAAAGACCAGATGAGTTTTCTATGAATGTGTGCTTGACTTTTACTCCGTGTTGTGTGCGGATACGTGCCAGCGCTTGTCCCTCCCCGCTGTCACATGTGCGACAGGCCGGAAGGGAAAGATGTGTGAACTGCTGGAACTGGGGGTGGATGCAATAAACAGGCGGTTGAAGGGTTTTTGTTCCTGGGTCCGCGTGGCCTGAGGAGAGCCTCAGGGGTGTCCTGGGGCAGCTGTACTTTCCGAGGGAGGGCAAGCTTTCCCAGGGGTGAGCTGCGGGACCCACCAGGCCTATTGCTCTCCCCGGGGCGGGGCGGGGCGAAGCCAAGCG